CTTTTAGAGAAATACTTGTTCCTCTCTGATTAGTAAGGCCACTTGACAATTAAATTCATATTTCTATTTAATATACTTTAATAGTAACATTAATAAGACTATCTGAGTGGCAGGAGGTAATAATTGCTATTGCTGTTGCTATTGCTATTGCTACTGCTATAATTAAAGGAACCAATGCTGCTGTTTTTCTCTTCCTAAAGAGGCGTTTTCTTTTGAGTGATTTCTTCCAATTGTGCTAATAACGGAGAAAAAAAAGTGCAGGTCCATTGCCATATTTGCTCTGATCTTATGAATTATCCACACCCATTCCATAGTTCACCCATCCCTCATCCCTCAAATACTTTGAAAATCTAATGAGAAGGAAGAACTCATCAAATACTTTGGAAATCTAATGAGAAGGAAGGACTCACTGGAGAAGAGCCTAATGCTGGAAAAAATTGAGGGCAAAAGAAGAATGGGACAACAGAGAATGAGGTGGCTGGATGGAGACACTGCAGCAGTCGGTGTGAGCTTAAATGGACTCTGGGGAATGATAGAGGACAGGAAGGCCTGGAGGAATGTTGTCCATGAGATTGCGATGGGTTGGACACGACTTTGCAACTAACCACAACAGTTAATGCTAGAAACCTATAAAAGTTAGATGCAAACATGCATCTAGTTATTGGTCACAGTTTGAACCTAGCTGGCAGTGGCAGGGATTCGATCAGTACACTGCTTCTAATTAAGTTATACCAAGTTCAATGGAAACTCTCAGTATACAATTAACAGGAATGCCATATCCATAAATGTTGAGAAGCAAGCAAGGATTTCCAATTCCTGTGCCAAAATAAAATAAAAAAGTGATTTACCAAATGTCGAAATTCCACTGAAAGGTTCCCGTTTGCAGACTCATCCATGTTCATTGCTTTTATATGAGTCCCACACAGAACAAATCTGCGGTTGCTAGAAAACATATCCCAGTAAGATTGAGAACCGCAGGTGAAATAGTAAGAAGCAAAGTGTAATTATACGTAAAACTCCATCATTTATATTCTCTTACCTTATAGTACAGGCATTCCTGGGTTTTAAAGAAACAAACAAAGCAAGTTAATCTTGTGCCAGTCTTCGAACATACAAAATGTCTTTAATCAACTGAATCATTTCCTAAACTTGCTATATGCAAGTTTATTACTGAAATCTCTTCAGGGTTTACAATAAAAACATACAATGTAGTGAAAGCAAATAGGTTAAAAAAATAAATCTTCACCAATTGAAAAAAGCATGCGTTTAAAAGCCTTTTAAAATAATCAAATCCCATTACAGAAGCTACGCTTTTAAAGCTTTTTTAAAAAGCCAATAGATATGCCAACCATCTAAATGGAGCGCATGGTTGGGATGGCTTCAGAAAAGATCTGAGTTACTAAGAGAGGAATCTAGGGGAAATCCTGGGGCACAAACTGAAATGGATAAAAGATTCTGTGGGTCAATGCCTCAACGTAGGGAACCAAAGTGAGAAATCTCAGTCTAGAAGCCTTCCCCAGTTCCCAGTTCCTTCTGGGAGAATGTAACTCTATGCCAGGGGTATCCAATCTTGGCAACTTTTAGACCTGTGGACTTCAACCCTTGATGGCTGGGGAATTCTGGGACTTGGTCCACAAGTCTTAAAGTTGCCAACGTTGGACATTCCTCTAGAGCCTTGGAACTGTTGATCGTCGGGTGCACTTCAAGGTTCTACTTACCACCTATAAAGCGCTCCATGGTAGTGGATCTGGCTATCTGAGAGAC